TTTTTTCTAACATCTTCCGGGAGCGACGGTATTACATTTTCGTCATCATCATCCTCATCGTCATCGTCCTCATCATCATCATCATTTCTTGTGCTGCTTAATTTTCTTTAATAAATAAAAAAAAAAATAAAAATTAACATGTTTTCACTTTGTTCTTTGTGATCTGTTTGTTCTCTTCCTGTTGTTTTGACAGCGCCTTGAGCACCTATTTTTGGAGGTGATGTTTGCGCTTTAAAAATCGTTATTATTATTATTATTATTATTATTATTATTATTATTATTATTATTATTATTATTATTATTATTATTAATATTATTATTATTATTAATGCAAAATGCAATTTTATCTACAAACTTGTAACCTATGTTCTGATTACATTTTGTAATTCGGCCATTTAAAGAATAAAATAATAATAAAAAAACATAAATATTGATAATGACAAACATACCGGCACGCTGTCGTTTGACTTGACGCGAGTTGATGCAAGTTGACGTTTAGTACAGTTTGTGGTGTATGATCGATCGATCAGTCTGGTGTAATGAGAAATGCCGGTGTGGGTATTGTGTTTGGAGGGTCTGGTGGTATCGGAAGAGCAATAGCATTGAATCTTCTAAAAAACAAGTATAACGTTGCAATACTTGGACGTGATGGCAGTAAATTACATTCAGCAAAAGATGAAATGGAACGTCAGGCTACAGAAAATGGTTAGGCCTAGTGTAGGTCTAGGCCTTTGCGGCTAGCGGGGCGGCCAGCCATTCATTTCTTCCTGTAGACTTGGCTTTTTGCCTACCTTGTTTATACTGGGACATCGACTAGCCTAAGTCCTACGTGGGCAACGCATAGCACGTGGATTTGACGGAATGGCTATTTATTCCTCTCTAACCCATTAATAATTATTTAGTGCAGTTTCATGTTTTCAGCCAGATCAGCAGGCCTACTCAGTACTACTTAGGCTACCAGGCCTAGGCCTAGGCTTACTACCTAGGCAGGGAGGCCCTAGCCCTGGCCCTACTACTAGCATAGGTCCTAGGATAAACTCGAATTTGCCAAATCCAAAAAGATTACAGCAATATCACTATCGGACTGCACAAACCATCACGATAATTTAGTGTAAAAATATTTTGGCTTTAACAGTTTCGGGGGTGTTGATTAATTCATAAAAAAATTATGATCTTTAGAGGGCATTTAAAAGTGTTTAATTAATTTTGTCTTCAAAGGAAGAGTGTTGAATGTCACCAAGATATTTGAGTTATAGACATAAATTGTGCATGGCTACCTTTACTCACATGTTTCTAGGCTATACAGATGCATCTTCTCTCGCATTATTCTAGTGTACTGTAAATTCTACTCTCTAGGCTAGGTCCTCTGAGTCAGTGGCAGCTCTAGGATATAATTTACAGGGGGGGTGGCTAAGATGTCCGACTGGGGGGGGCTAAGTATTTATGTATGTAACTATAGTGCGCAGCGTTTATCTGAGGGCCGAAGCCCCGACCCGGGGATGGGTATTGGAGGGGGGTGTCCTCCTTCCCAAAACAAGAATTTAAAAAAAAATTTGTGACTTCTAGATGGCCGGAAATGGCTGGGATGGGAAAACTAGGCCTATTTTTTTTTCTTTTGGTCTGACTGCTTGACAAACTTTGGCCGATGGGGGGGGGCTTGACCAAACCAATAGGGGGGGCTTAAGCCCCCCTGCCCCTGCTGGCGCCACCACTGCTCTGAATCGAGAGATAGACCTACTCTATTTTTTTTTGACTTAATAAAATTTAACTTGTGACGTTAACAACAAATCTTCTTTACGGTTTACCAGAGAATTATGAACACCAACAATATTATGTCGCTAAACCAAATCTCAAGTATTGTATTTGCAAAGAACCATGTGCATGCGTTGTGGGCAACTCAGAACTGTCCATTTTCCAGCGGGGTATAAATGTTTTTATCATGACATGTGTTGTAAGTGAACTTTTCACCGGGTAGGCAAGCCTTACATTTTTGGGAACACCGAATATTGGTACGAATACAACATACATTCAATCAATAAAGTTTGGTTTTTATCAAACGTAAATATGATTTAGCTTTAGTTTAATGTAACATTTGATAGATTTGAAGAATATAAAGAATTTGCTAAAGGTAGACCAGCCCCAATTAGGCTAGGCCGCGCTGATTAGGCCAAGCCGTCATGGTAAAAGTGACCGTCCTAAATAATTGTAGGCCGTCCAAAAGACGGCCAGACGGCTTGCTGGCTAAGCCTATGGTGGCCGCAAACCAAGCATAGAAAGGTTGTAGTCACATCAAGAATATATTGAGGGGTTTTTTTCTAGACATAAGACTCATGATAGGGGCCTACATAAATTTTATTTATTTATTTATGTACTGCAATTTTACTATGAACAGCCTAGCTCCCTGCCCAATCAAGTCATAAAGAATATTTCTCAGTAATATGTGCTATGTAAGCTAAAAATACATGCTTTTTAAATTTCTGGTGACAGGTCTGAATCATTGCCGTCTTCTGGCACTGACATGTGACGTCACACAGGCAAGCTCTGTGAAGACGAGGTTGGAAGAGATAGAAGATAGATTTGATGGTGGTATAGATGTTTTAGTCAATGCAGCTGGAATCGCACGAGATGCCCTGCTCTTACGGACCTCGGCAGAAACAATTGAAGAACTTCTGCAGACTAACCTGATGGCATCGATAGTCACCAGTCAAGCAGTCTTAAGAGGGATGGTGAAACGAAAGAAAGGATCAATCTTGAATATTGGTATGAGAATCAGAAAGACATCTTTGCATGAACCAATAGACATCTTTGTTTAATGGAGTAAGACATATATCTTTTTATCAGAACTTTTTGTAATATTCATTAGGCCAAGGGCGTCGATCCGTGGCTGAAAGTGGGGGGACGAGATGAAAAATAAAGCCTTGGGCCGTAGGCCCAAGCAATGGTTGGGGACCAGGAGGCGAAGCCCCGGAAGCTCTGGCGCATATAGCCTTTTAATTGATTTTAAGCACTGCAATTAACATTTATTTCCATACGAATTTTTCAAAATATCCAGTGGCGGATCCAGTATTTTGAAATAGAGCTGGGCCCGGAGAGGGACTTTTAAAGATGGAGAGTGTAGCTGGACTACCACCTCAGCCCCAACCATGGTGGGGCTGAGAAAATTTATGATTTTGGCACCTCCAGTTGATCGGAAATGGCACTCTCAGACTAAATTTGAATATAGTTTTAATTTTTCTCCACTTTTAAATTTCGAAAAAAAAAATAGTGATGGTGGGCCGGCTGGGCCCCTTGAATCTGCCACTGAAATACTCATAAAAAGTTTTTAAAATTACCCTTTTTAGTCAATTATGCCCGCTTATATATTTCGTGCAAACATTCATAAAAATAATGATTTATTATCTACTGATTAGCTTATAACATATTCAAAATTCGAACTATGAAAAACAAATAAGATAAACTTAAAACAGTCATTAATTTAGTCTTTTTGCATACATACAGTACTTTTAAAATCAATCAAGAGGTTTTTGCTTTTCTCCTCTTTTTGAATTTCACTTTTGTGTAGGCAATATTGCGATAAATTATTGTGAGTGGAAATAATACTGTCTAATTTATGATCAAACAGGACTAGGGAGATAGGGAGCACACAAAACATTAGTTAGCATTTTGATTTCACAAACATAAAGGTGATTTACATAATTTATCATTATCAGTGGCAGCTCCAGGAAAGCAAATTAGAGGGGGACAGGGAGGGACTTGCACGTTGGGAAAGTAGATCACCTCAGCCCCACCATGGTTGGGGCTGAGGAAAGAAAATTTATGATTATGACACCTCTAGATTGCCAGAAATGGCACTCTCAGACCTAAATTCTAATTATAATTTTCCTTTGTTTTTTCCCCATTTTTAAAAAATAATTTTGAAAAAATTAGGGTCGGCTCGGGCCCACTTGAATCTGCCACTGATTATTATGGCGTCATTGTGAAACTGTGTCAACGTAACACTGGAGTTTGTAAACTTTTGGTAGGCTTATCACTTAATCGAAATAGGTAGACATCATATCCGTGTTAAAGGCTGAAATTAGAAAAAACAGTAATCCTATGTATGTAGATAGTATTAAACACTAGTACAGTATATACGTACGGGTCATAATAATATACTAAAAGAATAAATCGTTTATAGTAGAAATTGTGCACTTTTGAGTTTGTAAAAATATTGGCCTAATAAGGATATATGCTTCCAATTTTAACAACGTTCAGTACATTGTTTTCACAATAAATTTAGCCTCTGATAGTCGTAGCACCCATAAAATCGATCTAGTGGGTTTCTGAGATGGTTACGAAATGTTTAAACAATTCCGTTTTTACTCGGTTTTGGTCCGGAAAATACGTACCGCACTTAAAAAAGTGAACAGACAAAATTCATGAGTCATGCGTAATTGTTATTCTTTCCATTTGCTTTTAAAAGTGGGGTTTTAATTATAGAAGATTGGTGAAAAGTGGGGGGGGACAATCGATATGATGTCTCCCCCCCCCATTTCGAAAAGTGGGGGGGACGCATTCCCCTGTGCCCCACCAATTGACGCCCATGCATTAGACAGGCTGGCACAGTATTAGTGATTGAGCTTTGGAACACAACTTCTCTGGTTTAAAATCATCTGATGCCAACTTTATAACTGGTTTTCTTGGGTAGAACACTTTACAGTACCAGTAGACTTTCCCATGGGTGGTGGGTTCTATCCAGAAATCAGTATGTGATTGTATCCCACAAATCAATTACTTGAAATCAATCTGAAAACCGAAAGGTCCACTGATTAATCTCAGATAAGA